CTTTGACTTAATAATTTGTAGATTTCAGAGCTGTAGTGTTTAGGAAGCCTGATCTATATTTGCCAACAAGCAGAAGGTGTGAAGAACTTTGCAAGAACTTCTACAACAGATGCTAACTGAGAGCAGATATTACAATTTGATTACACAAATAATCTATTGCTACAAATCAGGTATGAAGAGTCCCAAATCCAGTCGCCAGTTTTTTATTTATAGGCTCTCAGATGAGGGATTGAGAAAGTCTACTGCCTTAGGCCATGGAGACCTGTTATCAAATCAATTCATAAATATACTAATGATGTGGTTCCAAATATGCCATTCTTATAGTCTAATAATAATAAGTATTCAAATATTTTTTCTAATTTCTTTAGAACAAAATGTTCTCTTTTCAATTATGCTTACATTCAATCTTTAGGAGACATATTTAAAATTTAGATACACAAGTATACCTATTGTTTGATGTGTTAGATTTTCATCATAACCAATTAAGTCTTTTCCATTTAATATCTAAGCTGCCCCTGCTGTTTATTCTTCATTAGCTGCTTATTGAAAAAGTTGCGGAGAGGAAGTTAACCAAACAATAATCTAAAAAAAGGGGACACACTTCTTTTCTTTGTTTTGACCTGTTCCCCAATGATAAGAAGCATCTGTATTATACAGGTTCAGATACATTTGTTGCTTGGAAAAAGAAATGGTAGGTGGAAAGAAAAAAACATAAAACATTTTAATTTCTGCTGTCTAACTTTCCTGAAATGGGCGTTGGTCTTACCTGATACGCCCTTTCTGTGATAGGTGGGCACGGCAGTCATGCCTGGGAGTGACACTGCCTTGCTCCAATGAGACCGAGTCTGCTGTAAAGTTCTTAAGTCCCGCCCCTTCCTGTGTAGTCCAGTTTTGAGACGAAGTAGATCAGCAGACTGTCATGTCTGGAAAATTAAAATATACGAGACTGCCAACCACCCCAATGCCCAGGGAACGGCCCAACAGGGAGGGGCTGCCTGCCGTGCCCATCTATCACAGAAAGGGTGTATCAGGTAAGACCAACGCCCATTCTCATGACAGTGGGCACGACAGTCATGCCTGGGATATACCAAAGCCAATGTCCTATAGGGTGGGATCAGGCCGGATCCGGGAAGCAGTTTCCAGATGCACTCCTTGCAATACCCTCCTTCCAAATGCCGCATCAGCCGAGGCGTAGGTATCCAACTGGTAATGCCGGATAAACAGAGTAGGAGAGGACCAGTTGGCCGCCCTGCAAACTTCCTCCAGGGGGGCCCTAGTGGACCAGGCCGCTGATGTGGCCACGCTCCTTGTGGAGTGGGCCATAATATTCTGGGGAACCAGCAAGGCCTGGACTGAATACACCGTAGCTATGGTAGCTCTGATCCACCAGCCAATGGCCGAAGAAGACAGCTTGGCGCCCATGGACGAGGGCTGGAAGGCGACAAATAGGGCTTCCGTGCGACGGAAAGAAGATGTGCGGGCAATGTAGATCTTGAGGGGTCTGCGAACGTTAGAGTGTGCCATGCCCTTTCTAATCGGTGCTGAGGAGAAGGGCAGAAATTGGGAAGAACAAGTTCCTGCGATCTGTGAAAGACTGAGTTGATCTTGGGAATAAATGCCGGATCCAGACGCAAGACCATCTTGTCTGCATGAAAAATACACAGATCTTGGCGGCCCGACAGGGCCACCAACTCCGAAATCCGGCGGGCTGAGGTTATGGCTACCAGGAAAGAGACCTTGAATGATAGAAATTTGAGGTCCACCTCCCGAAGAGGTTCAAAAGGGTGTCTAGTGAGTGCTGACAATATCTTGGTAAGGTCCCATGTAGGGAACCTGTGTATGACTGGAGGCCTGAGGTTTGTAGCTCCACATAAAAAACTGTGAATCAAAGGCTCTTTAGACAGTGTGACAGCTGACGAGTAAGACAGAATAGATGAAATTGCGGATACCTGGTGCCGTAGAGTATTCGGAGAGAGACTGAAGAGAAACCGTCTTGTAGGAAACCAAGGATCTGAACTACCGATGCTGACGTGGGAACGATACTGCGTCGTCTACACCATTTGGAGACAGCACTGGTAGATCCGCGTCGAGAGGCTTGAATGACATCCGGCGGAACCTGAGCTTCCGTCAAGAGGAACCGCTCAATCTCCAGACAGCTAGCTGGAAGGACTGAGGATCTGTATAAACTAGCCGTCCTTGTAGCAGCGACACCTGACTGTCGGGAATCCTCCAGGGAGGGGCCACCGACAGGGATACTAGGTCCGCGAACCAATGATGGCGAGGCCAATGGGGGGCCACCAGCACCAGTTCTGCCCTCTCTCTGATGAGTTTCCGGACCACCTTGGCTACAAGAGGGAAGGGAGGAAAGGCGTAGAGAAGGATTCCCTTTGGCCACGGGTTGCGTAAGGTGTCGACTGTTTCCGCTTCCTGAGCAGGGAAATGGGAAAAGAAACAGGGTAGTTGATGGTTGACTGCTGAGGCGAACAGATCCACTTGAGGATGGTCGAACCGTCTGGAAAGCTCCTGGAATAGCCGAGGGTGTAGGCTCCACTCTGCCAGGTCGATTGGATTGCGGCTGAGGGAGTCTGATAGAACATTGGACACCCCCGAAATGTGTTCTGCTCAGAGAGATATTAGGTAGGACTCGGCCCAGAACCCCAGCCGAAGAGACTCCTGTAGGAGAGCTCGGGAACGGGTCCCCCCGTCTGTTTATGTGTGCTTTGGCAGCGATGTTGTCCGTGAGGACTAGGACATCCCTGCCCTCGACCTGGGCCAGGAATCCCTGAAGGGCGAGGAAGATTGCCCTGAGTTCTAGGAGATTTATGTTGAGATCGCATTCCGGAGGGGTCCACCTGCCCTTAATCATGTGCATCTCCAGATGAGCTCCCCAACCTACAAGGCTGGCATCCGTTGTGATGACTAACAGTTGAGGTTCCAGGAATGAGCAGCCCTTGGAGACATTCTCTGGTGTCCACCATTTGAGAGACTCGACGGCATTCGTGGTTAGGAAAACTTTAGCTGACACTGTATCAATTACAGATCCTAGGTGCTGAAGACGGGTAGAAGGAGTCAAATGACTCTTCTTCCAGTTAATGGAAAACCCATGAGTCCTTAAGATATCAAGAGATGTGGCAACAAGATGTGGATAACAAGAGAGTGATCAAACACAAAGATATACATAGTATATGTTTATCAAAATGACAGAAAAGTTAAGCATACAGTCTAGTCTCTTTCTGTAACATTAGCAGAAGTAGAAAAATTTTAAAAGGATGCTATTTAATTTATATATGTCATAAATTGAGATGTTAACAAACCAAACAGAACATCATATGACCTTCCAATCATTAAGATCACATACAAAATATACTATTCAAATACTATTAGTTATACCGATTGTAGTACATCTTTTTATTTCCTATCAGGCTACATTGAAAGATGTCAGCTTAGAGTGTGCCCAAGTACCTGGGAATACATCTCACCAAGTCACATGAGACTAACTTCTTAAAAAGTACACATTATATCATGGTTGTTATAGTCCACTATAATTCTATTTTCATACATTCACCCTTATTTTTAACTCCCTTGAAATAATTTGGCATACTATTATTTAGATACCTCGTATCACAATAATGAGATTATAGTAATAATTAAATTGAGATGTTATAGACAGTTTTATAACTGAGCAGGATGCTCATAATCTGCACCCTTAAAAAATAGACTATTTTAACATTAACCCTGAGAAAATGCTGCCACAAAAGTGATAGTAGACGAAAGCCAGTAAACCATCTTAATTTATCCTGATCAAATCATTACCTTTAAGTTCAGCTACAAAAAAAAAACAAAACACTAACATCACTTCAACAATATCCAACATATGAAAACTATTTATATAATATTCATATATCAGGAATGTTTATGTGACTAATACAGACATGGAATTTATTAGCTCATCATCATGCAATAAAATTGTATTAAACCCAGGAAATATAGAAAGGTGATACATTCAAATAAAGCAAAAAAGAAGTAAAGCTAATGCTGAAAGAGATTGTTCTCAGATTAATTCTGAATTAACTGTATTCCCTGTCTACAGTCATATTCAGGATTTAATGAATTATTTAATAATCAAATATTATCTCCAAACTTAATGAAATACTGGAAAAGCAAAAACGAATTCTCCATTTGTGACAAGACTAGTTAAATCTTCCCGGATATGGTAACCTCTCCATGTGCTGGGATACTGTTGTCTGAATTGTTTCTAAGTCCATGCAACGTTGATGCATTCATTGTATCTAAGTAGTTATGAATTATACATTATAATGTATGTAATGTACTCATAAATATCAAATAATTCATCTATACAACCAATTCAAAACAATCTGATAAGTTACATAGATATGTAATAAGTTTGTGTAATGGTTCAGTTTTTAAAGCAAAAAAGCTACTTTGGACCATGTATGTAGCAACTCCTCTTTAAAGCAGGCACCGTATTTCTGATTACAAGGTAATCAGCAGCGCCATACTAGGAAAAAGATACATTTAAGAATTCGCAGACAAATGTTGCATGTGTGTGCCTGCATAGCCTTTGAACACAAAGTGCTGCACAGCTTTAATACGAAAGCTAAAGAAAAGAGGAAATGACAACAACATACCTCTCTACACATAGAATAAAAGTCCACTTGAAACAAAGGCAGAGGACATATAGAACTCCCAAATACCTATGCACAATTTTTAATAGCATGAATTATAGCCATAACCACGAAAATGCCTTTATGTATCAAAAGTAGAAAATGTACAATTTGTTTAAATGTTCAAATAATTAGTCTTATAACAAAAATATTGAAAAAAGAGCTGTAATTTAATATTATAGCTCATGAAACACCACAACAGTTGTTTGAGTTTTCCTTAGGTTATTCTAAAGAGATAAAACTTTTAAAAATATGAAAATTATTTAGCTATAAATCAACAGATTCTTGGCTGGCTTACGCAATCACTATACTTACTTGAATCCTCCCATCGGAGCAGATGCAGTTTCCAAGCTGAGTAATACAGAAACCCCAAGACCAGGAAGAGGCAGAGAGCAAGTAGCACGTTACGCATAAACACCAGAAGTCCCATCTTCATACGGAATAGCTTTTCTATAAAATCTGGGTGGAAAAAAAAGGGGATATTCTCAAATAGGTTATATAGCATAAGATTAAGATGTTTGACTAGGACTGGAGAGACCAAGGTTCTGGTCTCACCTGGTGACTTTGAGCAAATTACTTTCATTCAATCCAGCCAACTTTGCATGGATGTTGTTATGGGGACCAATTGAAGGAAAGAACCTTATGTAGATCAACTTGAGTAGATCAACGTGAGCCAAGGTGATGCAGTGGTTAGAGTGCAATACTGCAAGCTACTTCAGCTGACTGCTAGCTGCAGTTCGGCAATTCAAATCTCACTGGCTCAAGGTTGACTCAGCCTTCCATCCTTCCAAGGTGGGTAAAATGAGGACCCAGATTGTTGGGGGCAATATGCTGACTCTGTAAACCACTTAGAGAAAGCTATAAAAGCACTATGAAGCGGTATATAAGTCTAAGTGCTATTGTTATTGAGTTCCTAGACAAAAGTTGGGATATACAGTAATTCTAACAAAGAAATAAATTAAAAAACCAACTATGTTTAAGTTATCTAAGCATGTGCCATTCCCAACACATATAATATCCAAACATATTTATTCATGACACCCGAGTAGAAATAAGTTTTGTGAAATAAACAGGATGCATTTCTCAGTAATTTGCTGCTTTTCCAAGCGTGATTCAGAAATGCTGCTGCTAGGTGTTATTAGAAAGCTTAATCTGAAGAACCTGTTCGCTATTGAATTGTTTCTCAGGAACATACTGTTTTGGTTACTTAAAACAATACCCAAAGTAAATTGTCATGCAAAAAAAATATTTCACAGAACTAAGAAATGACACTGGAAAAGATAGTATAACCAATACCTCTTAATTATATAAGTAACTACTTAAACATAATTATTTTAATATAAAGTTGTAACAACCCATTTTTCCTCTACTGTAAATATATCACAGTATGTATTAAGGTGATCCACATTTTTTGTAATAGTAACAATAGGATAGGTACTATAAACTAATATTAAGCTACACTGACTTGTATGGTGGTTGCAAAGTATTTCTCATTAGACCCTGGAAAATTAGCATCATGTTGCTCATGTCATGATGTAACAAGAATAATTGCTTGCTGAGATATGGAAGATGCAAATCTGCTATTCTAGAATGGACTACTAACTTTATGCATGAGTCACTGTGGTTAAATTGGTAAGTTGTGTAAGAATCACAAGAACGAATATTTTGGAGGAATTGTTCATTTGCATTATTTTGGACCAGCAACATACAGACGTAGATCAAGAGACAGAACTGAACCACAAGTTTAGTCACATGCCTGTCCTTCCTCTGTCTTCCCTTTAACAAGAGCAGTTTGAGTAATCAATCAGAATAGAGCTGGGAGGGACCTTGGGGAGGTCTTCTAGTCCATCCCCCTGTTCAAGCATGAGACCCTATACCTGGTACCATTTCAGATAGGTGGCTGTTCAGTCTTTTCTTAAAAATCTCCAGTGATGGAGCACCCACAACTTCTGAAGGCAAGCTATTCCACTGATTAATTGTCCTCACTGTTAGGAAGTTTCTCCTTAATTCCAGATTGTTTTTCTCCTTGATTAGTTTCCATCCATTGTTTCTTATCTTGCCTTCTGGTGCTTTGGAAAATAAGTTGATCCCCCTCTGTCAACATTGAACCACTTTGTGAATCTTTTTGCGGCAGCCCCTCAAATACTGCAATACTGCTACCATGTCACCCCCTAATTCTTCTTTTCTCTAGACTGGCTATATTCAATTCCTGCAACCGTTCTTCAAACGTTTTTGTGTCCATGCCCTTAATCATCTTAGTTGATCTTCTTTGCACTTTTTCCAAAGTCTCAACATCTTTTTTGCAATGTGGTGACCAAAACTGGATGCAGTATTCCAGGTGTGGTCCGACTAAGGATTTATCAAGCGGTACTTAGCTAACTATTTCCTGTTTTGATCCAACACCATTCTAGAAAACTAGCTTAGTCAGGAAAATACAAAAATCCTAAAAGAACTCATGGTTAAATGCACGCTCAATGAAAGGACAGTGAGAAGAGGAAGCGCTCAATCCTGTTTTCAGTTCACTATCCCCTGCAGCAAAACTCCATCAGAGATTATATCTTGTTAAATTACAGATTAAAACCGCCTGGATGGGTACAGTATAATCTATTCTTCGTTGTGTCCAATTTAGCTTTGCAATTTTATTAAAACATTTTAACAGAATACTGGCCAAACTGTTCTGAATTCCACAATAATCCCAGGCAAGCTGAAGCAATTATGGTGATAGTCATAATTTTTTGAACCGGATGTGAAATTTAGATAGACAATATGAATTGATTTCAGGGTAATTTGGCTAGATGTATACACACAGTAATGCTAAACCAAAATGAGGTTGTTTGGATTCAGTTTAACATGTTCTTTCATAAATTTTGATTTATGATTTAGTATGTTCTCAAGCCCAAACACAACGCTTGAGCAAACCATGAGAACAAAATATATGGCTAAAGTCACTAGACTGAGGCAATTGTTCTTTGCCCCACTTCACTTAGTCTTTGTTTACAGACTACGTGATGTAGGAGAATACAAGTAGGAATGAGAGCACTTTAGGAATTAAAAAATAGGTGTCTTTTGATCTTTCAGCAAAGAAATAAAAGCACCACTACCACTTCAGCCATGACTACACACAAGAACCCTGAAAAAGGCAACTTCATGTCAGCTGAATTCCAACAGGTTGCCAAATCATGGCTTCAACTTTCCATAGTCTGTTTTCAAATACCTTCTCCAAACATGTGGCAAGTGAAAATGTCATGGGCTGGCTTTTCTGAGAGCACTCTGGTAGGAAAAAAAGAACATGTTCCATAAATAAATAAGCAATGCTGAAAGTTTCCTCCAACATCAAAGAATAGGACTGATGGTACCCCTCACCAAGATGCTATGAATGAGCAATTATAATTTCCCCCCCCTGAGCTCTGCTCCCTGCTAAGTATTTCTCCTGAACTTCAATATTCCATTGACCAAATAACTAGGAAAAGCCATACCTTGAATGTCTCTATGCATCGTGTATATCCTGCTGTTGCACTGTTTGTTGCTTCCTTCTCACCAATTTACTGTGAAGATATTTCACCTGACAGTCAGATGAAGCTCCAAAGTTGCAACTGGACAAATTAGAAATCTAAATTTTCCATGGATCAGCTTCAGAAGGATACAGGTAGTCCTCAACTTATAACCCTTCTTTTAGTGACCATTCAAAGTTACAATGGCACTGAAAAAGTGACTTATGACTTATGACCTATGACCACTGCAGCTTCTCCATGGCCATGTGATCAAAATTCAGGTGCTTGACAACTTCATGTATTTATGACAGCTTCACTGTCCCAGAGTCATATGGTCACCATTTGTAACCTTCCCAGTTGGCTTCTGACAAGCAAAGTCAATGTGGAAAGCCAGGTTCACTTAACAACTGCATGATTCACTCAACTACTTCAATGATTTGCTTAACAACTGTGGCAAAAAAGGCCTAATGTGGGGCAAAACAACTGCCTTAACAATGGAAATTTTCAGCTCAATTGTGGTCATAAGTCAAGGACTACCTGTGTAGGCAATGCCATTACTGCAATAGTGTACCATTGCTGAAATAAAACAGAAACCTTCTAATCACAAGTTTGATAAGAGGCAGAGTTATTAAAAAAGGCTACCTCCAAGTCTCACTATTAGTGTTGTAACCCTTTCATAAAAGTCTAGGAAGCATATATACTCTCCTCAGCCATTTATCTCAATGATTCTCAAACTCTGATTTGACAATCACGAGGTAATTCCCCCATAGCCTTTCCATTTTCACCAATCAAAACTGGTAAGCTACCTGAGCCTCTTGCCTTCCCATATTCACCAAAAATCAACTGGCCAGACCAGGGCCATTTACTTCCTCTACCTGCCATCTCCCTGCATTCACTGCCAGTCAGTTGGCCAAACAAGAGCCAATTCACTAACTCAGCCCCACATCCCTGCATTTACCATCAATCAGCTACTCATCACCTCAGTACCATCACTCAATATTTCCCACCAATTAATAATGGATTACCTGTAGTTCTGAAAACGCTGATTTACTGAAAAATACAAAGGTGAATTCCCAAGCTCTTGAAGTCAAAAACAAGAAGGGATTATTGTTTATTTAATTGTGTGATTTTGGCACTTTCAAGAATCTACATTAGTTGTTCACATTCACAATTACACAAAGTTGAAGAAATGCTAGTTTAAATGAATAGGAGTAGCTGACAAAGGCACTCTATTAAGTTTTTAAAAAGCAGGACTGGCAGAACTAATCATTCTTATTTATTATTGCAAATTTACAAAGGCTGACATGTTGAAACTACCACACCCAAGTTCTTCTCATGTGTACTGCTCTTGAATCAGATCTTACACGTTTCTTTTGTTTTCCTTAGCTAGATGTATGACTTTACATTTCTCCGTTAAATTTTATTCTTTTGTTTTCGTCCACTTTTCCAGCCAAAGTCTTACGGAATTTTCCCCCCTCTCTTTCTGGGTACAGAGTATAGTCCTTGACATACAGTCACAATTAGGACCAGAATTTCTGATGCTAAGCAAGCTGGTTAAGTGAGTCATGCCCAATTTTACCACCTTTTTGCTATGGTTGTTAAGTGAATTTGGTTTCTCCCATTGGTTTTTTTTTTTTTTTTTTTTTTTTTTTTGTGTAGAAGGCTGCAAATGACAATCATGGATGCTGCAACTATCATAAATACATGCTGGTTGCCAAATGTCAGATTTTGATCACATCATTGTGACAGTCGTAACTGTGAGGATTAGTTGTAGGTCACTTTTTTCAGTGCCATTGTAACTATGGACAGTCATAAAAGAATGGTTTTAAGTCACGGATTACTTGTATTAGAAACTTCATCTTGTCCATTGCTTAATGAAAGAGCCGCATCTTAACTTCTCTTCAACCTTGTCTTGCTTGAGCCATTATGCTGTTTGTATGTGGCTTGAGCCTGACAAAGTTCTAACTGGATTTTTTTGGCCCAAAAAGTCAGTGGCCAGTAATCCTTGATCATTATAATAAGAGAGAATAACAGCCAATTATGATTGGAGAGTATTTGTCACTTCACTCAAAGGTCAAAGAGGACACACTAACTTTACATCCTGTACTCAATATGTTCGATTTTGCTCTTCAAGAGACCCATAAAAAGTATAAGGTCCCTTAGAATTTACCAAGGATAGAGCATATAGATCTATTTGTAGTGATATGAACACGTACATCATGTGCTCAGCCATACATTTATTGGTAAATAAATAGTACCACAGAAACACAGACTCCAGTGGTCTTCCAGTTTAGTCAAGCAAACATTCTTTGGCAAAGCATCTTCCCTTTTAAAACCTTACACAACCGTCACCATGTTGAGATTTGTTTGGCCCCCAATCCTATTGGCATTTCACAACTGTTTGAAAACCAGTAAATTCCCCCAACCACATAGGTTGGATGAGGTCATCACTGAGGTTTTCCTTGACATGATTGTGATTCTGTCTGAGTTTGATTGTCCTTGAGTGCAATTGTACTATTCTTGTGTTGTTCTTGGGTACTGTTATATTGTTTTTATTTCATTGATTTTAATTCTAAATTCACCACCCAGAGTCACAATTGCAAGATAGACTATTCTGTAAATCGAAGTACAGGTAATCCTCAATTTACAACAGTTTGTTTAGTGACCATTAAAAGTTACACTGGCAGTCAAGAAAGTGACATGACTGGTTTTCACACCTATGACCATCACAGTATCCCCATAGTCGTGTGATCAAAATTCAGATGCTTGGCAACTGACTCATATTTATGATGGTTACAGTGTCCTGGGATCATGGATCACCTTTTGCAACCTTCTGACAAGCAAAGTCAATGTGGAAGCCAGATTCACTTAAGAACTGTGTTACTAAGTTAACAGCTGCAGTGATTCACTTAACAGCTGTGGCAAGGTTGTAAAATGAGGGAAATGTCTCATTTAATGTCTCACCTAGCAACATAAATTTTGGGCTCAATTGTGATAAATGTCTCACCTAGCAACATAAATTTTGGACTCAATTGTGGTTGTAAATAGAGGACTACTCATAATAAATAACTAAATAAACAAGTTCTGTGTGTGTCATGACATCTCTGAAACTTCTCATAGCTTAGATATGGAGTCCATACACATGACAGCATCCAAAGCAAACTCAAACTTCCAAAAGCAATAACAAAATCAGTTTTCAAAAGTAATTATTATCAAAGCCTCTTCGTATTCTTTTTGTGTACAAAATGGCTACAGTCACATTGTAAATTCAACTCCTAGTCTAGATCATTTATGGGAATTCATCATGAGGAAGTGCAAATGATTGCAAATAGGCCCCAAGAAATACAATTGCTTGTGGCTGAACTGCAAGACGTCAAAACATAGCTGGAGGTTAAATGTCTGAATTGCCTTGTAAAAAATCTTCACCTCAGTTGTAAAAACAATGTGAAAACATTACGCCAAAGCTTTTTCTGACATCATACTCTAGTGTATGTGTCCATGTACATTCTATTTTGTGTTTAACAAAGATGCAAGTGAGATTACACAGACCTTCATAAAATTAGAACAAGTTGATGAAACCCATAAGGAAAATCTCTGTTAGAAGAAGAAAATGATCAGATCCTTCTAGATACACTCTGACCAAAACTATTCTAAACTCTGTTAGCAATGGGTTTCCTGTCAGCTTATCTTCATCTGGACAAATGTCACTCTGAGTAGAAATAATGACTAAAAATGTTTGAATTGTTTCTACTTCTTAATATCACATAAGGTGTGGGTGGTGCATCTTCTCAAGTTACTTTTACTTTTTGGGTCCTACTCCTGGCTCTTTAAACAAAACAGCTTGCTTTACAATTCAAATTGGCATTCTTTCACTTTGGGATCATTCAATAATACAGCTGGAGAATTTCTTTGGCTACTCAGTTATAGAGGCAAATAGTTCACCCAAGCAGTGGAAACACAAATGGAGAAAACTTTAGGCCTCAACAAATTAAATCAGTGTTCTGACACTCATTTTCCTTCATGCTTCCTGCTCCTTCACTTCAACATACTCTACCAGCTTAGAATACAGGCAAATAACGTGCACAGCCCCAGATATTGTAATCCAATAGTTCTAGCAAACATTGCACAATATTAAGTGATGCAGGCTGTTAGAACCAAATAGTTGGAGGATCATGAATTGATGACCCCTATCAAAGTGGAACCACCTCTGGCTATTTCAGAAGAAAGGACCCTTTTTTTAAAACATAAAAACTGGTCTCAGTCAAACCACCATCCCTCCTACTTAATATGGACTACCTTACCCATTTCTTTCACTCCCGTTTTATTCCTTCCAAGCTGTCAATTTCAACCAATTCCACCCAGCAATTAATTCCAGGACCTCTGCGGGTTAAAAAACCAAACAAACAAACCACACACATACATACACACAAATCCTACCACAAATAAATAAGAATGGCTGATGGGGTGAGCAGGAACTATTAGCCTGGTGAAAATCGAGACCACATCCTAGATGGAATAAGGAAACGAAGCGCCACGCAACTAGGATGACAAGGGCACCCATCTCGCCAAACGGGAACGAGTTGAACTACAAGACCATCTGAATAGCCGGGGCGGGGGAGGCGGAAAGGAATATATTCTGAAGGAAGGCATGGATCTTCAGGGCCCTGGCAGGAAAGCAAGTTTTAGGAAGGAGAAATAGGCCATGGAAGCGCAAGGCGAAAAATCTCAGCGAGACGGGCATCTGACCAGGACCTAAATGGAGCGAAAGGCAGAAGGACGCAGAAGCGGAGCACTCTCTCACTTCTTCCTTCTTTATCGATTTTGAGATCGCATCCCTCCTCCGCGTTCTCTTGCTTACCAGAGTAGCGGGCCGATTCCGGCCACCTTTCCTGCGGGCTCGAGTTCTGTACGCCTTGCAACCCGCCATGCCGGGCCGAGCAACGGCGACAGTGGCCCTCACCGGCCTCTAGGGCAGGGGTCGATCGCCAATCACACACCAAGGCGGATCTTCTGACGGCCAATGGGGGAAAGGCGAGGGGCGCTCTCCGCTGCAAGCCCCACAATTGCGGGAGAGCGGTGGGATTCACGCTGCCCAATCAGACACAAGAAGGGCTCTTTCTCCCCCCCCCCACTCAACTCAAGCTTACCAAGAAGGCGAGCGGCTGCCCAATCAATGGAGACAAGGAGCGGAGGGAGCTAACAAGACGTCCAATCAGTTGGGCCACATTTTCTCTCCCCCGCCGCTCATTTCAGTCCTGGACTGGGCATTAAACGGCTTTTTAAGCCAATTGCGACATAGTGCAGGAGGGCGGCTGTTCCCGGCAGAGTTTGGAACGGCTGGGAGGGCATAAGTAAGGATTGGAATCTCAGATCTCAACCCATCTGCTCTAATGGAAATTGCTACCGCTGCTACCCTCTAAAAGGCAAAACGTATCATTTAAATGCGGTATCTAATGTAGATGGGTGGCATATAGCGAGGCGCCGTTGGCATGCCTCCATCTTCAAGGTCAAATTATGCTTTTGCAAAGAGTTCTCTAGTGCCAGCTAGAATAACTTGGGTGGCCATGGTCCTCTTTGAGCTTGGTTGTTTTCTTCCAGATGTTTCATTACCCAATTAGGTAACCTCCTCCGTGTATGGTGTTACATCTTCAAGTAATATCAATGGGTAACTTTATTAGAACAATGAGCTTATCCATGTTTAACCACCATGGTTTAATCAGTTAAACACTCCATCTGGATTTTGCTACTGAAATCATAGTTTTTAGTTTATAACTTAAGTGTTTCCTGCAAACTCAGGAAATACTTTACATCAGCCAGTACATTATGAGGATCCAGAAGGCTTAGTTACTCATTGTGCAAATATTGCCAATACTGTCATCCAACAGGGTTTCCCTCAGGGATAGGAGCCCCTGTAGAAAACATCATTGCAGACCTGCAAAACAGTCCAGAAGCACTTTTAAGCAAGCCATTCTACCAGGAAGAGCTAGAATAACCTTCCAGTGTAGAAAACCAAACCAAGGACTGACTGTAAACCCAGTGAGACTGGGCTAATACACTCCTACAATAGATGGATGGGCCCAGGGATAATTTATTTATTTATTTATTTATTAGTTCAATTTATATGCCGCCCTTCTCTGGAGACTCAGGGCGGCTTACAATGCGTTAAGCAATAGCCTTCATACTTTTGTATTTACCAAAAGTAGGGCTTTCGCCCTCACCTCCCCAGCAGTGTTCTTTTTTATACAAAGTCAGCTTATTGCCCCCACAATCCGGGTCCTCACTTTACCTACCTCGAAAGGATGGAAGGCTGAGTCAACCTTGAGCCTGGTGAGATTCGAACTTGCAGTAATTGCAGGCAGCTAGTGCTAGTTAACAACATTTTAGTCTGCTACGCCACTAAGGCTCTATAATAACAGCCCTTCCAGTGGAATGACTGGATGGATGAGAGAATGGTGTCTCTGATAAAGAGAACCAGGAGTGCAATGGCTGCTTGAAGACATTCCAGAATTAGGAACTGAAAGTATTCCAGGATTAGGAACTGAAAGGGCTACCAGAGGTGACTAACTCTGGATCCCTGATGTCATATACCACACTCATAAATCAATTTAAAGAAGCATCAGCACTGTAGCTTTTAACGTCCTCCACCTTCTTGGCTCACCAGATTAATCGGTACGATTGTCACATCTTTGAAAAGACATTGTCAGGGTCTGACAGATCTATGACTTAATAGTAAGCGTAAATAGTCTTCCGTTCTTTAATATGCCTCCCACGTTACTTATCCTGAATCTTTTTTTTTTTCCTCCTCTGACATAGTTCATACTTTAAGACTTCAAAAACAGAGCAGGCGGAATACACAAAGTAACGTTCGAGCAGTGTTTCTCAACCTTGGTAGCTTGAAGATGGGTGGACTTCAACTCCCAGAAATCCCCCAGCCAGCGCTTCTCAACCTTGGTAGCTTGAAGATGGGTGGACTTCAACTCCCAGAATCCCCCAGCCAGCGCTTCTCAACCTTGGTACTTGAAGATGGGTGGACTTCAACTCCCAGAATCCCCCAGCCAGCGCTGCTGGCTGGGGGATTCTGGGAATTGAAGTCCACCCATCTTCAAGCTACCAAGGTTGAGAAACACTGCGTTAGATCTAGCAATGGTTTAAAATAACGTAAGAGAAAAATAGCCTGAAAAAAATCCCTTTCTTTTAGCATCCATTCCATCCACTTTAGCTGTAATTTCCCGGACCCCGGATCCTATCACCCAGCGTTCCATGTGCCGTGATTTATTTATTTTTTTGACACCTTCTCATTTTTTCCCATCCTCCTTAAGTTTTGCAGGTCCCGCTTTGAACGAGCCATAGAGACGCCGGGGAATCAGGCGCGTCGTTTCCCGTCTCGTGTAAATGGCTGCATTCTCTCTGACTCTTCCCAAACCGGCTGGCGTCTCTCGCAGCGCTTCCCCGGCTTGCTAACCTTGCTACGCGAAGTCGTGATTGAGTCACCGGATCTGGAAAAGCCTCCCCGAAGAATCCGCGATACGGATGAGTTAAGGCGGCGCCGATAGCGGAACTTCGCTCGAGGAGAGCTCGCAAGCCGGTAGTCCTCTGGGAGTAAAACCGGCTCCCCTCTGGTTCGTAGTCAGAACGTACCCCCCCAAAAAAAAGAAGAAGAAGAAGAAATAAATAAATGAGAAAATGCGAAGGGAAATTTGCAGAGGCAATCTTTTTCAATTCCCTTTGGGCGTGTAGCAGCGTTTTTCCTTTTCAAAGCAAGAGATTGCCAGCTGCAGGTGTCAGCAACGCAGTTCTGTAGGAAGGAGGGAAAAAAAAAACTGCCTTGGACAATTGGGACCGCCTCAAAAATTTTGATTAGGGTTATGAATCTTATCTGGATCAGTGGTGAAATCCAATTTTTTTTTTTTACTACCGGTTCTGTGGGCGTGGCGTGGCTTGGTGGGCGTGGTTTGGTGGGCATGGCAGGGGAAGGATCCTGCAAAATCTCCATTCCCACCCCACTCTGGAACCAGCCAGAGGTGGTATTTGCCAGTTCTCTGAACTACTCAAAATTTCCACTATTGGTTCTGTCAAAACCTGCTGGATTTCACCCCTGATCTGGATTGAAAGCAGCTATGGGTGTGGGTATCTCCTGGTGGCAGCTTCTTGGGGGGGAAAAAGCTGCATCTTAGAAAGGACCCATCTGATTATGGTTTCTGAGGCCAACCATTGTGTTGATTCAGCAAACTAAGATTAACCCTGACAAAATGCAATGCATGTGTAAATCAAATCATTTATGAGGTTGGAGTGAACCCAGGGGTGAAATCCAGCAGCTTCTGACAGGTTCTGGAGAAGTGGTAGCGGAAATTTTGAGTAGTTCGGAGAACTGGCAAATGCCACCTCTGGCTGGCTCCAGAGTGGGGTGGGAATGGAGATTTTGCAATATCCTTCCCCCAGAAATGGGGTGGGAATGGGGATTTTTCAGTATCCTTCTCCCAGGAGTGGGGTGGGAATGGAGATTTTGCAGTATCCTTCTGCCATTCCCACCAAGCCACGCCCACTAAGCCACACCATGCCCACCAAGCCACGCCCACAGAACTGGTAGTAAAAAAATTTAGATTTCACCAGTAAGTGAACCTCACTAGAGTGCATGTGTAAAGGCACCTTTATGGATTCACATCACTTTTGCCCCACAACTCAAAAGGTTTCTTTTTGTCTATGAAGCTGTGTCAGAAGAATGAGGACACTCCAAAAGCAAGTGTGATTCACACATTTGGAAGTAATCAGTGGAATATATATTACCATTGAGGAGGAAGACCTATGATGTAAGGTGGTTCCGTTCAGGTTCTAAAACAGCTTCCTGAGGTTTTCTACTAATATATTTGACCATATTCAGTGGGAATCCTGAGAGCTGTAGCTGCCGCATACAGATAGTCCGCGACTTACAACATTCATTTAGTGATCATTCAAAGTAACAACAGCACTGAAAAAAGTAACTTATGAACAGTTTTTCACAGTTACAATCTTTGTAGCATTCCCATGATCATGTGATCAAAATTCGGATGCTTGCCAGTTGGTTCATACTTATGACTGTTGCTGTGTCCCAAGATCATGTGATCACCTTTTGCAACTTTTTGACAAGCAAAGTCAACAAGGAAGCCGGATTACTAATTTATCAACTGCGGTGATTCACTTAACAACTGTGGCAAGAAAGGTCGTGAAATTGGGCAAAACTCACTTAACAAATGTCTCACTTAAGAGAAATTTTGGGCTCAATTGTGGTTCCTAAGTGAAGGACTGCCTGTATTTGGAAGACACTGGGGGGATAAAAAAGCTAGATGTGGTTAGTTCAGCCTTCTGACTACAACACTGATTATGTTTCTAGAAGAATTTTCTGCATATCCTCTTTTGCCCTCTTCAGTTGCCTGCAAAAGTGTACTGCTTGGCCCAACCACATTACAATGTTGCCATGTGAAATGTCCTACTACTAATTGTGCAGTGGCTGTTTTGAATCTCTACTTTTAGTAACACCAAATAGAAGTAGAGGCAAGAAAGGTACCGTGTTTTGTAGTATCACCTTGTGACCTGTCAAATGTTATTTATTGCAAAACAAAGTAATATTTTTAGAGTACCTATAAAAATTACCAGCTGTGTATAAACAGGCATCAGACGATAAGTACCACAAAGGTAGGAACAATTTGAGCAAAATAGTTAATGTGTGGAAGATTGTGTACTCTCCAAGAAGATAAAAGCACAAAGACAATAGAGAAAATGATTCAATGGAAGCAATAGAATGGAGACTGATGAACAAAGTTTAAAGTAAGTACATGAAGAAAATAAGCAAGGATGTCCAGAGGTTATGGTCAAAGATAACCTACCAGCTAAACTAAAATCACAGCATTGTGGCCACCATCTTGACTTTTCTTTGACCATATCCTGTCAAACCTGAGTTATAAATTTCAAAAAGTTCAAAATGAGCTATAATACATTTAACAGACCAGGCTTTAGCTGAAGAATATGGATCAGAAGCA